GGCTTCTACGTAAGTTGGCAACCTTCCGAGCTCACTCTCCTCTACCAGCCCGCAGGCTTACTCCCTATACCAATATTCATTACTCTGCGCCTTTAAGTGTTCACTCCTTAGGCTCAACTCGTGAACTCTGATAAATGGACTAGTTGTGAGGAAATGGGCATGAAAATGTCCGCTCAGGGTACTTCCGTCGCGGAATGGGTGTTTGTAATTTGGGCGAGTATGAGGCAACTGAGTACGCGTTTTATTTCTCGCTCTCTGGTTCCCCGTAATTGTCTCGCTCTGAAGACAGCCCTTTAGATCTGTGGGGATATTTCCAAGGCCTCTTGGCGGTTGTCAAACTGGGGGTGTTTCAAACTGTCCCTCCAGTGGATTTCCGTTCTCCTTGTCGACGGAATCTGTAGACATGTCACGTCAACAGACGCCCAGCAGTCGTTTCCATGACTCCACTGCTTCGCCGACCTTAAAACTCCTTCGCTATGACATAGATGCTGAGCATGCATTCAATTGAATGACCTGCGTGCCCGGTAACCGTCTTGTCACTTCCCTTCCACCAACCGTCGATGGGCGACTTGGTCCTGCGTCCTATAGGAGCATTGTCCAAATGATAGCCCTGTACTTTTCGTTTTTTATTTGAGGCAAGGGTTGCACTGATTCTATATATAATCCTCCGTCATCCTGTGCTATCCCAAATCCCCGTAATCAACCTGTGCACATATTTTCGAACTACTGAACAGACTAGTCCGCCTCCTCTTCTTCCCGCTCCTTCTCAACTTAATAGACTCTATGCTGCTTTGCAAACAATACACAATTTAGAACTATTCTCAGTCTTTTTTGTGGATAGGGGTACGTAGGTAACCATGCACACTAAGTACGGATGTGCACGAGCAGACTACTTATCTTCCTTCTCCTCTTCCTCCCCCTTCTTTAGTCTGTCTTCGGAAACAGACTTGCTAAATAATTGCACGGTCTTGAGGAGAGTTGGCCGACGGTGTGCATTTTAAATTTTACGTGTGTCATAACAGTTTCCGCCAAAATCACTCAACTTTCCCCCCACTTAAGACTTTCACATGGTCTCATTTGCGCTACTGCCCGCTTCGTGTCGCAATAACTTCGGTTTTTAGGAGCTGGTGCGGCCAGGAAATCCACAATAATACACAGAATCTCAAGCTTCTTTTTTGCGGCAGTAAGCCCTATGCCAATCGCTAACAGGTTGCCGCCCAGTAAGCCCAGAGTTTCTCCTCCGTCCTCTGCCGCATTGCTTTTGCACACAAATTTAATTAATCCCGCGTCAGTGGTCGACAGGCGTCAGGCCTTCAGTCCCACGTTCCGGGAGAGTGAGCGAGAGAGAGAAAAAGAGAAAAGAGAGAGAAGGCGACAAGGTGTCCACCTCCGTCCAATGATGTGTACTCCTTGTTCGTTTTTTTTTTGACAACAGAGGCGACTTGAGCCTGCCTGCCTGTCTCTTACTTTTTGCTCTACCCTACAGATTATTTCAAAAAGGGGCTGCAAGCAGATGGCCGTTATACAGTCTCCTTGGCCGTTGATATTGCCAGACCGTCGGTCGACTTTAATAAGCCAATCACAAGCGTGGAGAGTGACAGAAGGGGGGAAGCGATGTTGTTTTTTTATGCTGAGCCTGTAGCCGTCCAATGAGAGGCGCACACATAGCACACACAGGCTGCACATAGCGCATTCCGCCCAGGCAAGCATGCGCCAAGGTTCACCGCCGCCGACGAGGGCACATGCACCGGCGGCCTACGCCCGTCTCAAGTTTAAGCCACTTCCGTGAGTCCCCGTGAGAACTTAAGCCCACCAGAGACGACCATGCCCTGATTGGTTAGAGGACGTCCCAGGGCCCGGCAACCCTATGCAGAGGCACAG